ACAGATCTGTTGGTTCTTTTGGCAGCCCATGGCACTTTCAATATTCTCCTCCAACACCATAACTCAAAAGCATCAATTCTTCTACGGTCTTCCTTATTTGCTGTCCAGCTTTCACAGGCATATGAGGTTACTGGAAATACCATGGCTTGGGTCAATAGGTCCTCCTAATGGATGGAGGGAAGAGGCAAGGCTGGAATCAAGGTGTATCAGTGGTTCTGAATACAAGGCAATTTTACTATCCAAAGGACATATGCAATGTGTGTGTGGTACCTTAAATTTACTTTAAGTGATTGGGTAAGACCATGATAATAAAGTATGCAGGACTCTAAAGCTAAGATTCGTCAGATTTGGCATCCAGCTAGGTTTAAAAGGAGCCATCTCTGGTAGCGTAGTAGTTACAAATCAGGCTGCAAACTGCAAGTTCAGCAGTTCGAAAATACCAGCTGTTCCGTGGGAGAAAAAAATGAGGCTTTCTGCTCCTGTAAAGAGTTACAGCCTCAGAAACCCTATACAGGGTAGCTATGAGTCGGAACCGACTCCATGGCACATAACCACCACCAACCATCTCAGAAACAGGAACAGAAGATCCCAGGATAATCAAGAAGGAAGAGCATGAGTGGAGCAGGAGATGGCAAGAGATGGTGACATGGAGAGACAGAGCAGCTGCAGGGTGTAGACCCGTGGACTGAGACAGAAGCCACGGGGCCACATATTGAGAATCTGAAGACAAGAGTGAGGCATGTCTCCAGTACTGCAGACAAGAGGCATTCCTGATAGGAAAACTGCTACATCCTGAGTTGGTTTTGATCCTGACTTGTAACCTGTTCCATTCCCTAATACACCTCACAATCATGAGTATTGTTATGAGTTCTGTGTGGCCACTGCAGTGGGTTGTCTAACCCAGATGTGAAGCAGAGTGTTGTGGGAGGGATGGTTGATGTCAGAATCGGGTAAAGAAGGTTGTAGGGTAAAAGTATGTCTGACTTTCGCTTCATAGGCATTGGCCTTTGGTTGATTTTGAGTTTGATTCTCTTTCCCCTTGGAAAGCCAAGAAGTCAGACATGGTCCCCACATGGTTTTTCCACTCTGAAAATATTTTTGGTTGTCACAACTGGGTAGAGATTGCTACTGGCATATAGCAGGTAGAAGCTAGGGATGCTACTAGATATATTACAGTGCACGGGATCGTTCCCTTTAACAAAGAGTTACCTTTCCCCAAATATCAGTCTAGATTGAGAGATCTTGATCTAGACTGATATGAATTTTTTGGTTCCTATCCTAGAATATCTGTATTTCTGAGAGACATTAAAAAAAAAATTATAAATGGAAGTCTTTACTTACTTTCATAAGTTAAAGACAAATACAATAAATGTACTACACATAGAAAATGTACTGCTTTGTTGTTGTTAAGTGCCATAGAGTGGGTTCCGACTTACAGTTATATAAGGTTTCCAAGGAGCAGCTGGTAGGTTTGAACTGCTAACCCTATGGATCATAGCCCAGTGCTGATCCTACAGCACCACACCAGGAGCCCTTATTTGCTTTGGTGGTAAATTATATCACTCTCTGGTAACACTATGTTGATAAGAAGTTACAGTTGATAGAAGTCTGATCAATAAAATATGAAAATACCAATTACTGATTAATAAATGCCATTTGTTTGATGGACAGACTTTCAAAATACAACTGAAAATTTTCTAATACCAGCCAACACTGCTTATAAAACCGAGCTGTGTGGCACTGTGGGTCAATGGATAAGACCACAAAGCCCTTTGAACTGAAAGGTCAGTGGTTCAAGCTCACCAGCTGCTCCTCGGAAACCCTATACAGGGTCGCTATGGGTCGGAATCGACTCGACAGCACTTAACAATAACAACACTTGAATATATATACTCCAATATATTCAGTGTTTTACCAAATACAAACTTCCTAACAATTTAAAGGAATGCCTATAAACAGTTTAAAACAACCACCTCCACAAATAGTTAAGACTGGAAGACAATGATGACCCACTTATCTGATTAATTTGAGCCTTGAGCAAATGAACACTTTCATTGTATGTATCAGAAACAGGACTGCAGTATACTTTCCTTGTATTTACTTTAAGAGCAACAAAAGGAAAAGTCTTCTTTAAGTACAGCTCACAAGAGACAAAATAGCATGAAGTTGAGAAAGTTTGATGCTATTGTTATCTAAATGCAAAGAATTTAGGGGGTAAATCACTTGTGCTACACTCTACACTCAAGGGTAATCAGAATAAACACCCTAAATGAATTCCTGAAACGACAAAATAATTACTATTAAGGCCCTGATATGGTTTGGAAAGTCTGGAAATATTTCCAGAAGTAATTAATTGGTAACTGAATTAGTTACCAAAACTTAATATTATCTACTATGGTCAGAACCGACTCATCAGCACTTAACAACAACTATGATCAGAAGGTTGGAATGACAATTCAGAACATTACCTTATGTTTGAGTTCCCACAAGTAGGAATTGGGGAAAACTGCTTCTTTGAAGCTGCAAAGCCAATTTTAGACAACTTCCTTACGGATGGAGGGTAGAGAAATGCTGTCTTACAAAGATCTCATTGAAATTGGTCAGAGCCACACACAATATTAGTTACTAAATCTGGTTAACAATTATAGAACTTTTTTTTTTTAATAAAAGGGAATCATTATAGCTTCATCTATATTATTTGAGCAAAAACTTCGAGACCAGATTAAGAACAAAAATGCTTTCAAGCTGAATTCATACCCAAATGTAATAAAACCCAAAATTCTGACAGTTTAGAAAAGTAACATACAGCGATACTTTACTACCCTGAAAATCATGCTGGATCCCCGCTAGGTCAGGCGGACGTTTTCGGGTTAACACTGCGCAACGACCCGAATGCGCTTCTTCGATCTGGCCCTGCCGGTAGCAGCGCTCTCGAGGCACTGTTGCGTCGTCCAGACTGTAGACGTCACGCCCTTATCCAGGGATACACAAAATGATCCCGGCAATAAAGTCATCCATAGGACTATCTCCCTGCGTCTGCTACCGATAAAAACATCTACTTTATCTTCAGACTTTCCGAAACCCAAGGTCAAACACGGTGGCAATATCAGTACTACCCATCACCCCTAAGGAACATACACAACCAACAGAAGCGCAATAACGCGCGGAAAGGCGATGCGAAAATAACTTCCATTCTCGCGAAATCTTATGCCCCATTCCCGCGACATTTCTCTCCCTCTTTTTCTTTCTCAGCTCCGCCCCCCACCAACACTTTGCCTTAGAAACATCGCGAGAGTTTTTCCCCCTCAAGCCCCGCCTCTTTACGGCACGATGGTCGCACAAGAATGTGATAGAGACTCGACGGCCGCCATTTTCTTTCTTTCTTAGCAGTTAGCTGAGAGGCAGTCTCTGCAAAGACGCGGTAGCAACCACTTTAAGTTAATTATGGCAGACTATTCAACAGTGCCTCCACCTTCTTCAGGTTCAGCTGGTGGCGGCGGCGGCGGCGGTGGAGGAGTCAACGATGCTTTCAAAGATGCGCTGCAGAGAGCCCGGCAGGTAAGTTTGGACCGCGCGGCGGGATCCCTACAGCTCACGGTAAATTGGCGGCTGACTGAGTAGGCCGCTATCCTTTCGCGCACGAGGAAGAGGGAAGCGGTGCCCTTCCAGCCTCCCAAATGTGAGGAGACTCCCATCCTACGTTATAATACCAGTTAGAGACAAGAACCCGGTTTTGTGTTCTTGGTGTCTAAACTACTTGGAATCCACGCGTGCTACACAAAATGGCTTTAGGCACTCGCGCTTCTCCTAAGAGTTAGTTTAATCTCTCCTTTCCCTCCTAGTAAGGCACCGTCGAGACGCAGTGGTTAAGTGCTTTACTGTTAACGAAAGATCGGCGGTTTTAACCCACCGGCCACTCTACTTCTGAAAGCTATATGGCAGTGTGCGTCCGAAAAGGTTACAGCCTTGGAAACCCTGTAGGGTCGTTACGAGTCAGAATCGAAGATAGTGAGTTGGGTCTGGTTTCTAAGAGTGAACATTCTCTTCCGTGGGCTTAAATAAAGCTCGTGTAGTTTTAGAGTCATGTGGCAAATTCTGGTAATAATTAGTTTGGGTAAGGACCAAGGTTTCTCTTCAGGAACCATAGTCAAGAATTTGACATGAAACCAATCTTTACCGCTTCCAATTCATTTTAGTTCGCCCTTGTAATTGAAGGCTCTTGGTGTGGCGCTGTGGGTTACTGCGCTGGACTGCAAATTCGGTTTGAACCACAAGGTCTGCGGTTTCAAGCTCACCAGCTGCTACTCGGAAACCCTATACAGGGTCGCTGTGGGTCGGAATCAACTCGATGGCACTTCACAAAAAACAATAGTGTCATTCACCTTACACGCTTACAAGGAAGAGACTTAGAAGTATTAGTATCCCAAGTTGCAATCTTTACCCTGGGCGGGATTTCCGTGTCTGTCTGTCCTACCACTCCTCCCCCCTTATTTCTCAAAATGGCTTCAGGCTCGTTTTACTCTTAAGTTTCAGTTTGAATCTGTCTCTCTGTTGGAGTCATAAAGTAACCAAACTGCTTTGTATTGCTAAGGTACACATTTGCCCCAAAGACACTAATTTCCCAAACGAAAGCTGTGGGGAAACTAGTATAATAGGGCTCAGAGAATGTGGGCTGTTTTGATTGCATTAGGGGTTTACTTTACATATTCTTTATTCTCCAGTACAATTGAAGGATCATTTGAATAAAAAACAAAGTTCACAAAAATCTAATGATGTAACATCACTCTAATTTTTATACTGATTCTGTTATTAAAAATATACCAGTATTCATTTAGAATCAAATATTTGGGGTGCTCAACAAAAGGTCATCATGAATACTAATTCTGGTGGTTTTTTCACCTAATTAAGAAACACACTACTTCAGAAGGTGCTTAGAATAACAATTTTGTTATAGCATTCTGTTAGTGGCTTTATTAATTTTTTTTTCAGTCAAATTAGAAGAGTCATTAGGATTATTTTATTCAGCTAGCATATTCAATTTATGCTACTTGACCTGCATAGATGCTGGAGATTTTGTTTATGTGTGAATTGGGTCCTTGCCTTCTAAGAAGTCAAGAAACCAAATACAGATGAAAGGAGTAGACAAAATGTGGATGCTGTCACACTTTTTCATGTAAGTATTTATGGGGAGTCCTGGTGTTTGAACTTCAAGGTCGGTGGTTCAAGCTCCTTAGAAACCCTATACAGGGTCGTTATGGGTCGGAACCGATTCACAGCAACAACTATGAATCAGTCAGTGTACCAAGGCATTAAAGGATTTGTGTGCGTTTGAGCAGTGGAGAAAAGAAACAACATATATAAAGGTATGGGGACTCTACATTGACAAATACCCAAGAGTGGAATCACAGGATAGAAAGTGTGTAAGGAGGGTGGAAAGTGAAATGAGAAAAGGTACAGATAAATCAGGGATATAAATTGTGAAAGACCTTTAATTGCCATGCTTTAATTAAAAATTGGATTTTTTTTATTATTTGAGTTCATTTTTTTGAGTAGAATTAACTCACTGCCATGAAGTCAGTTCAGACTCAGAGTGATCGTTTAACACAGGGTAGAATTGTTCCTTAGGGTTACCAAAACTAAATCTCTACCAGAGAAGATACCCTGTCTTTCTCAGAAGTAGTGGCAAGTGGGTTTGACCCCCACCAACTTTGTGGTTAGCACCTTAACAGTTAACCTAATGGGCCACCAGGGCTCCTTTGAATATTGTTGTTAAGTGCCCTTGAGTTGGTTGTGACCCATAGTGACCCCTGTATAGGATTCCCAAAGAGCAGCTGGTGAACTTGAACCACCGACCTTACATTTCAAACCAACTTTGCAATCCAGTACCATCACACCACAACAGGAATCCCCTTTGAGTAATTTAAATATAGAAAATATTTTCACACTGGAATCTTTGAGTTAGTAATTTAAATATAGAAAATATTCTCACACTGGAATCTTTGGCCTCATGCCTTACCATTGTTTTGATTTTTTCTTTATAGACTTGATCTTAAATTTGAAATTCCCAGTTGAATTACCCCTTATTACATTTGAGGGTACCTCTAAATACAGTTACAGCTGTTTAAGTGTGAAGTAACTAAGGAAGAGTACTTTCTTAGTTGTTTGCTTAAGTTATCCCACACTTATTTAGATGCAAATGAGAGGAGTAGACAAAATATGGGTGGCGTTAGTAGATATGTTGAATATAAGACTGAAATGGAACCCTGGTGTAGCGCTGTAGGATGTTGTTGTTGTTAGGTACCATTGAGTCTGTGCCAACTCATAGTGACCTATGCACAAGGAAACAACACTGCCCGAACCTGGGCCAACCTCACAATTGTTGCCACGCTTGAATCCCTTGGTGCTGCCACTTTGCTAATCCATCTCACTGGGGTCTTACCAAACATGGTATCCTTCTCCAGTCTGGTCCCTCTTGACAATAAGTCTGAAGTATGAGAGACGAAGTTTGGCCATCCTGGCACTGTAGGATAAGCACTTGAAATAAACTAGGTTACTATCAGAAACACTTTTTCCTCATTGGTATAAAGAATATTGAATATATGATATCAAAATCCCCATTTAACCTAAAATTCATTCTTAGTCATTAGTAGGAGGAAATAAAAGAACAGCTCCTTGACATCAAGGAGCTCAAGAGATTTTTACCAATGGGAATGCTATTGGCATTTTTAAGTGAACGGTTCTTATTTTTATTTGTATGTTGTTTAGTGCTGTCAAGTCATTTCCAAGTCATAGTGACTCTGTATAGTGTTTCCAAGGAGCAACCTGGTGAATTAAACTGCTGACCTTGTAGTTTGCAGGCCACTTCTGATCCTGTGGTACCACACCAGGAATCTTTCATTTGGATAATCTAGGGTATTATGAGCTGTGTTCTCTACTTAGTAAATGCCAGTAGTATTTACTTAGTTGTTGTTGCATTCCGGTAGTTCAGGCAGAGTTGCCAGTTAGCTTATTTTTTACATGAAGTTTCCGATTTTTTTGTGATACTCTGGATAAAATCTGGCAGAGGAATTGCTTCCCTGCTTTTGAGTTTCCAGCCTGTGTTGCATTGCAATTTTTTTTTTCTTTTTTTTTTTTTGAGGAGGGGATGGTTTCCAAACTAACTCCATAGGGTAAGGTTAGAAATTTTTGACTCAGTCTTTGGTGATTACACATAAATAGGAAGTTTAACTGAAAGGTTGGTAGTTTGAACTTACCCAAAAGCGCTGCAGAAAAACCTGGCAATGTGAGACTACATGAATAGAGTGGTGTATTAAATTAGTCATTAAGTAGTACTACATTGCTCTCAATCCTCCTCTAAAATTTTGAATAATTTGACTGAAATCTTTTTTAGATAATATGAAAATACATAGCTGTTGGTTTCTTGTTACCATCACTTCAGTGAAAACTAGCACTGAGTATGATTTGATTTGTTATTACTATATTTTGTCATATCATAGGAAAGTTTTGATTAGTAATAAATTAGCAAAGATTCCTGTGTTTTAGAGGGGATTTGGAGAATGTTAATAAAATGGTGGCCTCAGTATTTCTGGTGTCTTTCCACAGATATTTACATTTCTAGTACATGGGAACTGAGTCCTCCATATTTATTTAATTGAATCAATAAATCTTTAACATATTAATGTAGTAATGAAATTCTGTTCTTTTAAAATTCATTTCTAGTATGTCTACTCTATTGCTGGCAGTGTACTAGATCCTAGAGATACAAAAACATTGTTTACCTTAGGCATCCACAGGCACATTTTTCATAAATAGAATGTATGTATATTTTAGGCTTACGAAAATAAAAATTTAATGAAATATATGAGGTCTTATTGTGAACCCTGCTTTATAGTTAATTTGTTCATGCTGTTGATAAATTCTGTCCATGTGGTTCCGACTTAAAAGATTTCCAAGAAGCAGCCTGGTTGGTAGGTTTGAGCTGCCAGCCTTGTGGTCAGCAGTCCAATGCTGATCCTACAGCGCCACGTAAGGACTCTCAATTTGTTCATAATAGTTGACAGTGTAAAGTCAGATAAGGCACAGGATATTCCAAGGGTACAAACTAGTAAGCAGTGGAAACCAGCAAGATCACAATCTCAAGCCATCTGATCCCAAAGTTTAGTGGAATATGAGGGTGAGTTAGCAATTACATTGTCTTTGTTCATCTGTCAACATTTGTATTTCCATATTAAAGAAATGTTTTAGGCTTAGCTGCCAGCCACAAATGCACTGCTGTCTTCACTTCATCAGAGGTGAACCTTCGTCCTCGAAGGGCTGAATTTCTGGGGACCAAACAGGTGAAAGTCCAGTGGAGCAAGATATCAGGACTAGGGAGGATGCTTCAGTACCTCAAAAGGAAGCTTTTGCAGAGTGTCAACAGTGTGGGCAGAGGTATGCTGATATGCATTGTCATGCAGGATCACAGTGCCCTTGGATAGCAGTCCTCTTTGTGTAATACCAAATTTAGGCTTCAGCTTCTCAGTGAACATCTCATTGTAATGGATACTATCAATTATGGA